TGTATCATAAAATAATAAAATAAATAAAAATTTACAAGAGTGTTTGCTTTATAGGTGCCAAGACATACTTAAAATCTTGTTAAAGTATTGTCTCATTTTAGACAGGTTTATATCTCTTTTCCAAAAAAAAGTGTTAACTTAAAATTTTTTTTATTGTAGTTTCATTATTCATAAAGCCTAAATGATCTCATAATTATTTCTCTAAACAACTTCGGGGCACACCTCTGATTTCTTAACACACTGAGACAATCAAGTATTCATATTCAGGAGAGAGAAACCATGTTTAGAGGAGAAAGTGTTTGATTTGTGTCATTAGAATATAAAACAGGCTGCAGCCATATAAAAATAATACACTTGCAAATTTAAATGTATTTATAGTAGATGTTCTAGCTGAGTGTGCAGTGCTTCAGTGCCAGAGAAACCGTATTGATGGGATTCAGAGAGTGACAGAATCCATGCGCTGAAACGCTCCTCAGGCCAGCGAGACAGGCTGCAGAAGGTCCCCAGAGGGGCGTGAGGGGGAGTTGGCCTGTGTCACACTCGCTGCAGGTGAGGGAGAAGCATCCCTGGAAGAAAGGAAAGATGCGAAGAAGCATTTAGATTCACTCATTAGCAAGCACAGTTTGTGTGTGTTAAGGACGTGGGCTCATCTGGAGGGACCAGGACAGCAGGGAAGCAGTGGAGGCTGACTCAAGGTCTTGGCTGCCGTACATCACACGGGAGACCTGGAAGCCTCCTGGCTCCTGCCTTTGGCATGGCATAGCCCCTGCCATTGCAGTCCTTTCTCGCTCTCTTTCTCTCTGTCTCCCCTTCTCACTCTGTAATTGCCTTTCAAATAAAAGTAAAAATTAAACACCATTTTCCTAGTGATTTTAAAAATTTCAAAATTCCCCCCTCTGTCTTTCACGGGGAAAAGGAACAGTATGAAATTAAGTTATTTCTGAAAAAAAAATCTGAGGGGAATTTGGGCATGTCAGGTGTTTTAGCTTGTTTTCTCTGCCCTGGGAAGAGCGGTGAGGCTGCAGACATTGCGGCTGGCTCCGTGCGCTGGCACGCCTCTCCTTCCCCTGGCTCCGCTCACACCCACTCCTCCAGCGTGCTGCTGACTGGGTTTGATTGGATGAAAAAGCTATAGCACCTGTGGTTTCTCGCTGCTGCCCTGCAAGGGTGACCTTTTCATCCCCTACCTCTTGCCTTAGTGCCTCACAAATGCAGCTGGTCTTCCCAGGATCCCGCGGGCAGGCGTGGGAGTGTTAAGATTCACCAGCCGACCTCCTGCAGGACTAAAATCTAGCCGCTGCCTCCTTGGGCTCTGACCCCACTTAGATGCTGTTGACTGGAAATTGCAGAGCATTCAGATGCAAGCTGTTTTACGAGCTTTTTTTCTTTGTCTCTCAGACACAACCAAATGGAAGCTGCTCGCTTGCAGCTCTGGGTCACAGTTGGGCTGTGGAGCACAGCAGTGAGTTCTAGAACTGCCTGACTTGGTTACAATGGGACGTGGGCAGAATGTGTTCTCCCCATTAAGGGCTCCTGCTCTCAGAGCACATAGGCCCGTGCTGCCTGGCCCGCACTGCTGCCACTGAGCAGCGGCTAGACTGTGTGCCTCTGCGCTCACCCCGTGGCTAATGGTAGCCCTCTGCTGATTTCCTATAGGCCAATCTCAGCAGACTGTGACAGTGATCCAGGCAGTGGCGGCAGTGGGCTGATGCTCCTGTTTCCCCAGCAGGCAGCCTGCTGATCCTGCCATCAGGAGTGCTTCCTCTCAGGGTCTTGGGCCGGAGCCACTTACTCCTGAGGCCCCTTCCTGCTGAGTGCAGTGGGCCTGGTGCAGACCCCCTGTGCTGTCAGGCTTTAGGCCAGGGATTGCTCGCCTGCGGCCTGACCCTTGGACTTCCCTTCCTGCCCTGGGGTCCCTAGGTGCAAGAAGCTTTGTAACTGAGAACTCTCAGGAAAGACCCCACATTGTAAAGCCCATGATGGCTGTTATTCAGGCTCACGGCATAATCTTCCTAACCATCTAAATCCTATAAAAAGCTCCTGGAAAGAGTAATGCGTATGAGTTGAGTTGGCATAGAAACAAAACAATGGAAATGCTGGTAAATGCCATGCGTTAGTCTTGCATGCTTGTCTGGGCAGTCATGTATAGATGAGTCCATGCTGTCTGTGACCATGCAAATGTGAGTCATCACTCTGCAAGTCTGCATCTTATGAGTTTCCTCACAGATAGTGGAAACATGTGGCGGACCCCTTCCCGGGATGTCTTACATACTCCCCTAATTATGGCTCTTATTTCTAACCTTTAAAAAAAGATTTATTGGGCCCGGCAGCTTGGCCTAGCGGCTAAAGTCCTCGCCTTGAACACACCTGGATCCCATATGGGCGCCGGTTCTAATCCCGGCAGCCCCGCTTCCCTTCCAGCTCCCTGCTTGTGGCCTGGGAAAGCAGTCGAGGACGGCCCAAAGCCTTGGGACCCTGCACCCGCGTGGGAGACCCAGAAGAAGTTCCTGGTTCCTGGCTTCGAATCGGCATAGCATCGACCATTGCGCTCACTTGGGGAGTGAATCATCGGAGGGGAAATTTTTTTTTTAAAGATTTATTTTATTTATTGGAAAGTCAGATATACAGAGAGGAGGAGAGACAGAGAAGAAGATCCTCCGCTGGCTGATTCACTCCCCAAGTGGCCGCAATGGCCTGAGCTGAGTCAGAAGCCAGGAGCCCAGAGCCTCTTCCAGGTCTCCCACACAGGTGCAGATCCCCAAGGCTTTGGGCCATCCTCAGCTGCTCTCCCAGGCCGCAAGCAGGGAGCTGGACAGGCAGTGGGGCCACCTAGACATGAACCAGTGTCCATATGGGATCCTGGTATTTGCAAAGCGAGGACTTTAGCTGCTAGGCTACTGTGCCGGGCCCCTGTTATTTCTACTCTTAAAGATCTACCTTAATTTTGATTTTTTTTTTCCCCTCAAAGCTGTCCTTGAGCTTCCAAGACCTTGGCTTGACTTTATTCAACAGCTTATGCATGCTAACCTGTAATATTTTCTCATCTTTTTACCTGGCATGGCTCATTTTGAGTCATGCCTTTCTGCCTGGATGGAATCTCACTTTTTTTGTAGGACATGAAAGTCTGAGAAAATCTGTACACTTATGAATTCCCAGCCCCTCGGGTGGACTCACAGTGTGTCTGCTTCTACTAGGATTGAGGGGCCTACCAAAAACAACGGACAGCTGTGAAGTATATAAATTATGGAAGGATTTGAATAAAAGTCACACAACTGCCAAATTTCTTTTTTTCTTAAGATTTATTTATATTTATTGGAAAGGCAGATTTGCAGATGGAGAGGTGATACAGAGAGAAAGATCGGCGTCTCCTGGTTCACTCCCCAAGTGGCAACAGCCAGGTTTGAGTCGTTCCAAAGCCAGGAACTTCTTCCAGGTCTCCCACACAGGTGCAGGGTCCCAAGGTTTTGGGCTGTCCTCCACTGCTTTCCCAGGCCACAGGCAGGGAGCTGGATGGGAAGTGGGGCAGTCAGGACATGAACTGGTGCCCATATGGGATTCCAGTACAAGCAAGGCAAGAATTTAGGCACTGAACCATTGCATCAGAGCTGCAAATGCCAAATTTCAAGATAGCGTTTGAACTGGGTCCTTGATGCATTTTTCCTTTTGGCTTGACTCATTTTAGTCTTTATATTTATTGACTTGACATTATGTGCATGTGGCCAAAAAATTCCGAAGGTTCCAGGTTTCTGTCATAACAAAGCAAACTGGTAATTTAGTCATTCTCAAAAGGTTCTTACTTCCCTCGAAAAAGGCAGCTTACTCTCTGTCGTGTATTTTGTGTAGTGATTCTATATTAAAATCTTGGGATTTTTTAAAAAACCCTTATCTAATCTAGCTAAGTGATCACACAGGGGCCAGCTCATATATGTTAAAGGGCCTTAGTCTGAAGGTGCCTTGTGCATGCCCACTGCCCAGCCAGGTCCGGCCTGCACACCCTACTCAGATAGCTACAGTCTCAATTCCCTCCTTAACCCACCAACGCACTTCCAGGTCATCCTAGAGTAATCTATAGCAACCTTCCAAAACCTACAGAAGTCTTTCCTTCTGATTGAGTTTTGAGCTCAAGGATTCTTATCAATTTGTATCAGGTTGTCTCGTTCATTTTGGTAGTCTAAGGAAACCATTTTTAGTTTTTAAAGAATGATTCCAAACACCTAAAAGAAAATATACATGGTTATAAGGGGGAACATTTATATTGAAGTAATTCAAATTATTTGAAGAGCAAATTTTGATTAGTTATTTCATTCCCTTATTTTTTTATCTTATGTCTATTACAAAGGTGAAGCGATTTCAGACTGCGTTTCTTTATTAATACAGTAAATAGCAAATACTTCCCAGCAGATGTAGTAACTAGATAGGCATAATATCTATACTATGATATAAAAATACTCTTGGTTTGTTTGGTGATGAATCACAGGTCGTTTTAGGATTGGTGTGTTGCATACATTCATCAGCAAAGAAAATGCCAGATTTTAGTTGAGTTTCTAATGAAAATGAAGTGTTAATTTTTTGCTATTTGTATTTAGGAACCCCAGGTTAGCCCCTTTCCTCACTCCTTAGTCCGAATCTGCAGACTATAGGTACTCCTTTGTCTTTCTATGGCGACTTCAAAAAAGATGCCTGCCATGGCTGGAGCTAATGCAGGTCTTGCACCTGGGTAGCGGCAACCCAGTTACGTGTGCCACCCCCGCTGCCACACATGGCGTGCAGTAGCAGCACGCTGTGATCAGGTCAAGCCCTGGCATTCCCGTGTACTCTGTGCACATGGTAACCTAATGTCTTAGCTGTTAGGTCAAGTGTCCGCCATTATCCTTGTTGGCTTTACACCTTAGATCTGCTTCTCTGTGTGTGGACCGTGTGTACTGTACCATACAGACGGGAGACAAAACTGAGGAGCCTCTGTGTCTAACCTTGTGGCTCTGTTCTTTACATCTTTACAGGTGGAGGAAGGATGGTGGGAAGGTGTTCTCAATGGGAAGACTGGAATGTTTCCTTCCAACTTCATCAAAGAGCTGTCGGGAGAGTCGGATGAGCTTGGTCTCTCCCAGGATGAGCAGCTGTCCAAGTCAAGTAAGGAAGTCCACCCCCTCAGGCCAGGGAAGGGAGGGGCAGTGATTGGGCTGTGCTGTAACTTCCCTTCCCTTCCGTATCCTCTGCCGGGACAGAGGCTGTGACCAAAACTCACCAATATTTTCTTGGTTATGCTACCTTACTCCATTTGCAGCTCAGTAAGTCTCCCACTGTGCATTCTGTACTGCACCGGATAGGTGCCCTGCAGGCTTCATGCCATGGTAACAGGCTCCTGGGGTGGCCCACGTTGCTGTTTCTGGATACGCTTTCGAAATGTGGCTTACTAGCAGTTCATAATTATATTTACAATTGAACCAAAGTAGTTTGTCAACGTTTGTTAGCCTCCCTTGAGGAACTTGGAGGACAGTGACCCAAAAGAATTGGTGGCAGGTGATGCTATGAGGATAAGTGCATGCCAATTTCCTTCAAAATGACATGGTAACTGAGTCAGAGTCCAGATCCCACCGTGGGTGAGCATGTGTATCTGCGCAATGGTGAGAACGAACTTCAGGTCTTTCTTTCTCCAGGGCCTGAAGGTCTCCCTCCAGCTTCTCTGCTGCCCTTTCCAGCTCATGGAGCCAAAGGTCAGGACCGGGAAGCTTTGTTCTCCCAGTCGCTAACCCACCTTTGCACGTGGGCGTCTGTCTATCTCTTGTACCGTCTTGAGCCAGGGTCATGGGTGTGAATGTTGTAGGAGACTCGACTGTGTCTTGATGGTGCGGCATTGCCTGGGCTTGCAAACGTTGCTGTCTGATGAGAGGAGGAGAGCTTTGTCGTGCCAAAATCATTGCAAAGGATCTTCCTGTTTCATTTGGGAAAAAAAAATTGACTTTAGTACTGGTCTCTTGTTAGCTTATATCTTTTTGTGAGGGTACTTGGAAAATTCCTGGCACAGTTGAATTATAACATGAGTTTATTTTGTGAAAAAAAAAAAAAAGTGTTACAAGCCATGCATTTGAAGGCTCTGTGAAAAGCTACACATGGAATTCACTATATTTTTTGCACTCAACTCAATAAACTTATCTTTTAATTCAGTTGTGTCAGGGACTTTTTGAAGTCCCATTGTGTTTGTGACATTGGACAAATACCCAGTTTGGAGGTGAAGTTGTTTCCCAAGAAGTACACAAGCACCTGCCTTCGTGTGGTGTCTCACTTCAGCATGCCATACAAACTGTAGCACTGGCTGATTGGCCCAGGGGCTGCGGCAGTGCCCCTCCTGTGCCAGGGACTGCAGCTTTCCTGCCTTTGAACCCAGCTTTGTCCCAGAGTGTACGGCCGGCAGGCCCAGAGGGTGTGTTGGAGCAAATGAGGTGTCTCGGCGTTCTTGCTACTCTCCCAGACGTGAATCCTGGACACGGCCAGGAGAATGAGTGGGAGCCAGAGGCCAGAGGTACCTCGGTCCCAGAATGGCAGGAGTTATGGTAGCTAGAATTCTAGCTTCCCTGATGTTGTTTTTGGTGCACTGGAGTAGTGTTGTACCTGGTAATCAGTTCTGTGATAGCAGCACCGTATCTCATGGGTACCGTGGGTTAAATGGGCTTGTTGGAAAGGAGGACTGAATTGCTCAGTGGTTAATATTGTGTTCCAGGAAGCATCATGCCTGGCCTTGGATTATTTACTAATGCGGAGAGGGAGGTCTGCGGAGGCCTTGGCCTGTCTCTGGGACAGCCTTGACTTCCGGCATCCCTGCCAGCTACACTCCTGCCCCTACACTCTCCGAGCTGGAGGGTCAGCGAACCAGTGCCTCGTGTTTTTGGATTACTGAAAGAAACTGGTCAGTAAGGGCCAGCTGCTCCTGCCTGACCAGTCAGCTCAAAGCATTTGGCACCGGAGTGCCCTGATGAGGGCAGACTGGGTGGCTTTGTGGAACAGTCGTCCAGCCTTTTAGCCTTCCTTTCCATCCGTGAAAGTTTCTCTTGTAGACACATGGCACTGCTCCCACATTCACTCATTTAAGTGCCTTCGGGTCCTGGACTGGGTGAGCCCAGTGGTGTGAGCTGAGCGGCGGGGCTCCCGTGGAACGTGGCCGTGCTCTCCTGACAAGTGTGCATCCTCCTGTGTGTGCCACCAAGGCAAGGAGAGCACTTTACCGCATCTGTCTGTCCACAGGCCCAGATCTGCCCACCCTTCTTTCTTCATTTTCGCCACCTCCTATTCAGTCTTTGTCGAGCCCTATTGTTCAGAAGGTTCTGCCAAGGCGCTAACAGCACACAGTGGTGAGCCTGCCCAGAATGCTGTCCCCAGGGAGCTTACATTGCGGAAAGTGAGTGTCAAAGGTGCTGGAAGTGGTCAGGGGCCTGCTGCTGTGTGTCTGGGCAGCAGCAGGTTACAAAAGCAGGCCTTCCCAAAGGGGCCAAAGGCCATGTCCTTGTAACTTGCTAAATTGAAATAATCCCAGAAAGGGAGAAACAGCTCCTCTCAGTGTTGTGCCACGGTTTTGAGAGCTGCCTCTGCATACATGGGACTGTGTTAGAATTTGTATAATGAGATCAGATCCCATACAACGGTAGGATTTGTCTGTGTTGAACCTTTGCTTTTACAATGAATGAGCTTGTTCTCTAACCCCACAGAGTGGTGGTTACAGTTTCGATGTGCTTTGCTTAAAGAAGAAACGTTTTGTTTTGAAATAATTGCTGATTCCTAGGAAACTGCAAACTTAAGCCCATGACTGCGCAGGGATGTCCTGTGCTGCCTTCCCTCAGTTTCCCCAGTGACAATATCTTGTGTAATTCATACTAGGTACCTGTTTACTTTTATCATATAATTGAAAAACAAACAAAATGCAGTCAGCACACAGAAAGACACGTCATCGTTTGCTTTGACTCTGGTATGCACTCTAGTGTAACTCCTCGGGGTCTTTGACAGCAGCCCATTTGGTGCTAGTCACAAATTATAGTTAATTTTTCCACAGTGATTACTTAATTAATATATGGCTCTGGGATTACATTTTATTTCTAATGCTGTGCCATATTTTTAACTTGCAGAGACCATAATGATATCATAAAACCCCTCATAAATGCTATCAGATACTATGGTGAGGTTTTTTTTTTTTTCCTAATACTGATAAAATCTTTATCCTACTAATATAAGGAAAGCCTTTTGTATAATGAGTCTTTGTACATCTCTTTGCTTCTGATACACACACACACACACACACACACATCTCTGTATGTGTACATGTTTATTTGATATTCATGCTCTTCATATTTTTACTTGGAGAAAGTAGAAAGAACGTTGATATTGTATTTGTAAAGGAATACTCCATGACTGCTTGGAGAATGAGAAGACTTGCATAACTGCTTCCTGAACTCTTTATCACTCCAAGCAGACATTTTGATCTTCGAATGACAGGTGAAAATTGCTTGAACTTGCTTTCTTCAGACTCTGATATATTTCTACATATGGTGGTTATAAAAAAATCTCCAAAACTTCTTAGGTCTTTGTTCAGAGCCATCTCATCTGTCAAGGAGTTACAACAATCGTATTGGCCGATTTTTTTCTAAAGCATTTTATCACAGAAGAAAATTCATAGCTATGTAGTAGCAGGAACATTTAGCTGCATAATTAAACTTTAAAATATCTTTGCTCTTCACCGAACTTATGAAGCCTTAAATGTAATTTTTGAACAGATTTTAATGAGCATTTTATTGGAAAAATTGTAACATACACAAAAGTCACAGTGCTGTAGCAAACCCCCCGTGCACTCATCATTCAGCTTCAGCAGTTACCAGCCCATAGAGTCCTCCCACTTGTCATCCAGATTGATATCATTTCCCCCATAACTTCATGAGAGTGTCCGAAAATGTCATCATCTCACACACAAACTGACAGCAATTTCTTATGATAATTAAGCATATGGTTTATGTTCACTTTCCCCTAATAGTTGTCTTTTAATTTTTTTTGGCTGTCATTTAATTTGAATATAAATCCAAATAAAATCCAGACATTGTGATTTGCTGATGAATCTTAGTTATTTCTTTTTTGTCTTGCAATTTTTTTTTTCTGCTGAAGGGCCTGAGCAGTTTGTACAGTAGTATCCCAGTCTGGCTGTTGCTGTTGTGTGCCTGCCCCGTTGTGTAGGGAGTGGATTTGGTTTAACTTGGCTGTGAGCGTGTGTTTTTTGTGCTCCTGCTTCCTGGGTGGTGATGGCTAATCCCTGTGCGGGTGCTTCTGTCGGTTTGTTTTGCTTTTTCAGTATTAGCAGCCAGTGTTTATCACCCAGGTCTAGGCAGTCATCAGGACATGAAAAGTGGTGCCAACCAAGAAAGTTTCTCCCAAAGAAAGAAGTAGACTCTGGTGTAGCAGATCTAAAGTTTACAATAATAGTAGCAGTAGTAATAATAATTATAATATTGTAAATAGATAAACTAAGTTTAGTAAATTTGCTTTTTTTTTTAAAGATTTATTTATTTATTTATTTTATTGGAAAGGCGGATATACAGAGAGGAGAGGCAGAGAGGAAGATCTTCCATCCGATGATTCACTCCCCAAGTGAGCGCAACGGCTGATGCTATGCCGATCCGAGGCCAGGAGCCTCTTCCGGGTCTCCCACGCGGGTGCAGGGTCCCAAAGCTTTGGGCTCCCGGGCGTGCAAGGCGAGGACCTTAACCACTGCGCCACCACACCGGGCCCGTAAATTTGGTTTTTAAAAAGCAAATCATTCAAGTGGTTGTATTAATAATATAGAACAAATCTTTTGACATTAGGAATGGAAAGGAATTTAAGGATTAGTTAGTCCACGGTCAGGTCACAACACAAAGCCAGTGAAATGGTGTTGTACGTGACCTGGGGCCAGAATGACATGCGGTCCTTCCTCACACATTCTGCTGTCACCTCGGCCATTAGCACAGTTCATGATCATGATCAGCTAATTGCCTTTTCAAGTTCAATTTTGTAATGTTTTTATTGTCTAAATATTGTGAATTGGTACAATTACCAAGTATTATAATCACAGAATATCCTGACTGTACATTCCATTTGCACTTAGTGGCAATGACTTTTCCTCAGTTTCATAATATTTTGTCACACATTTAAGGCAAAAATGTGTCTTTTGTGTTTTTAACATGTTTTTGATATTCAATTGGAAATAATTACATACAACTAGAAATATTCATTTACAAAATTGTTCCTCCAAAAACATTTTCATTTATTGTCCATGATCTTCAGAAGGAAGAAGCTCACATTTTGTTTCTAATACTGTGGGCTTTCAGTTTGAATTGAATTTCTCATTTTCCTCGTCCTGTATTTTTAAAAAGTAGATTCTGATATGCAGTGACTTGCCAAGCTAAGACAAAGAAAATGGCTTTTGCAAACACATGACAAACTTGTCCCATAATGCAGAAATAGTATTTCATTAACTATAAGCAGCAAATTACTCACTGGTCCTCAAGCATTAAAAAGAGAAGCCAGGCTGATCCAGTGCACTCCGTGGCCTCGCTGGACCCTGTTCTGTATGATATTAGATAACGCTTGTGCATGATGTTCTCTTAACAAAGAAGAGCAGCTAGCGAATTTATAAAACAGGCTTTCAGGCAAAATGAGATGTTTTCATAAATACATGATTTTGTGTTCAAATTTTAAAATTCTTCCCTTTAATAGTGTTTGTTATGACTAATAATGATGGTACATTCCCTCCCCGCCAGCCCTCACCAGATAACTATCAGTCATTGTTGCAACCTTTCCAATTGCTCATCTCTCGGGCTCTTCGGTTAGAGTCCCTGTGTGTCCTCGCCCACCCCAGCCCGCCAGTGGGCAAGGCACTTCACAGAAGGCCTGACTAGTCACAGACTTCAGGGTCGTGGTCTACTTCAGTGATTCTCACACTTGACCCTAGGGAAGAATACATGGAGATTCTTTTGCACTTGAAGGACCATTGTCAAGATAAATGATGTTTTCTCCTTCCCCCTCCTTTTTTCTAACACTGTGGTGGTAACTGCTCTTCTGTGTTGGAGGGCCTTACTCATAGCATGGCTGTGTTGCTCAGGAGTAATGTTGACTTGATTATTAAGGTTAAGCAAAGTACAAATTTGTCCAAATAAAAACCAATTGCTGTTACTTGCTCTGTGTTTGTTATCAAAATCCTCAAGAGCTGGGAATCTAACAAGAACATTTGCAACACTCCTTGATGTTTCTTTGGGATGTTCTGACATAGCCAGCCGTGGTTTGAGTGCGTCAGGTTTTGTTTTAATTGAACAGAGCATACCTGATGAAAAGGACGGAGTTTAAAAGAAGCGTATACCACCATCATGTTACAGAAATTGGAAACACTCAATGCCTCTCTAGTTTTTGTCTGATCATTCCTGATTTCCTGCATCTATTAGAAGTGACAGGGCCCAGACGCTGTCACATGGTGTTCGTGTTGGGTTTCCTGTTAGCACGTGGAGTGCTGCTGAGAAGAGACACATTGCACTGTCCTCTCTCACTTGCCCTCTCCATAAATGTACCCACTGTTTTCATCTGTTGCACTTACTAGGAAGCTGTATGACTGGTCTCCAGTTTGAGTGTGGAACCAATGTCTTAGATAATTTGGAGTAATGTATATATTAATTGAGTTTGCCTTTAACAAATAATTTCACCAACTGTTGATGTTCTCTGTACAGTCTGTGTATGGATGCATGTGAGTGTCCACTGGTGGGTGGGTAGATGTAAGCATACTCAAACTCGGCAATGTGTGTATTCTGTATACTTACTTACGGTTCCAGAGATATTTGGGCTTTAGCCTTGTGCTCAGTGTCATGTTATTGACAGCCTCTACTTCTATCAAGAAAAAAATGGTAATTGGACTTTTGATACTGGGGTGAGTCCTGTGTCCTTATGCTCAAACACTGTCTCATGACTGATAAGGCAAAACCTCAATTAAGATGTTCCAGGAAATAGGGTTTTCTGGTACCCTTGGTACCAAGGAGAAAACTCCTTCCATTGGCACAAATGTTACTGTTGGTTACAAACCTGACTGGTAAAACTCCCTCTCTAGTATATATTAGTGCATTTACTTGCTGAAATATAGTGAAGCTGACCAGTCTTTGACAGAGAAATCTGTATCTTACTTAGAATCTTGAGGGTGTGAAGATCAGTTTTCATCATATAGGGTCCTAGGGACTCCAGCAGATAAAGAACAATGGTCCTGAATCCATATCCTGTTTAGGTCAGATCCTCCAATGAGAGGATTGCCCTGTGCAGTTGAGTGAATCCTTGGTTAATTGAGGTTTTCCTTTTCTTGAGTTACAGCATTGAAATAAATGCCTTCCAGGTTTTAACTGGGCATAATCTGCATGCCCATCAGTTGCAGAGGCCAGCCCCTAATCTGGGTGCTCAGTGCCATCGTGTCTGCTTGGGGACTTTGGGTTCAATCAGCAACTTCCCTAAATTCTGCCTGATGGTCTCTAATTGATTTTATGGATGAAGTTCTTGCAGTGGACTCATTGAAGGCAAGTTCAGTTAAAGACTCTTCCTCTTCCTTCTTTTGCCATCATTTGCTCCCCCTTCCCCCTCTCTTGTTTTTCTCTCCCCTTCTCTTCTCTCATTCACTGTCAGGAAAGACTACCTTTGAAGGGACAATTCTGTACCGAGCTGCACCGGGAAAGACGGAGGGCCACAGACGCTATTACAGTGAGTGACCTCAACAGCAGGAGATGATTGTGAAGATAAGATCTGGGAACTGGTGGTTTTTGATGCAGCTGCCCTATCCTGAGCTGCTCGCGCTTATGCCACGTGTCTTTGTGAATTTCTGATCCAAGGACATGGACTTATTTTGCCCAAGATAAGTGCCATCTCCTTGGTGTATGCTACAGGAGCCTTCCCCCCATCAGTCCCTTTTGCTTTCTTGTTTGCTTTGTGCCTCTATCATGCGTGTGACATGCGTGCATGAGCCATGCGTGCAGGGAAGGGAGCAGTAGCATTTGTATGGCATATGTATTTGTGCCAGTATCTCTGAGATGGCTTCCCACAGAAACATCCACCTCTCGTGGTAATTGCTTTCTTTGTAGTGGTCACTGGAAATCAGTAAGCCATTTTGTCATTGCGTGGTCCAGAGAAATAAGATTTTGGCATGGAAGTCCATGCCAGAAATGGAATTTTGCTTTGCTCATGCAGCTAATCACCACACAGCAGACTTCTCTGGGCAGCATCAACGTGCAGCCAGCCTTTTGTGTTGTGAAATAAGGCTGTGTCAAAAGTCGAGCTGAAGGAGATGAATGAGATGAATGCATTAATCTCATAATGGCCTTTGAGCAGTTCAGCCACTTGGTATATACTACACATGTATGTGACATTAAAAGCAGAAAAAAGTGACTCATGGATCTGAACAGATCTGTGCTGGAAGAATAGGGTAAATTACAACAAAGTGGACAGTTGCAAGACTGGTGGAAACAAATTTGCAGAGGCTTTGCTTTCCTCCCCTAGAAGACATGCATCCACCTTAGAGTGCATATGCACACATGCTCATATGCACATGTGCCCCAGTGAATGTGATAAAAGAGAGGGTTCCAACCTGAGCACCAGAACTGCGCTGCTTCTGTCTCTGTTCATGGTTTTCTTTCTAGTCCACCATGGACAGATGCATGGTCCTCCTGCATAGGACGTGCTCCACACGTGGTGTTCTGGCCTTACCATGGGAGTTTGCCAGCGCCTGGACGGGTCTGTGTCCTGTTCACCTAGCTAGATCTCCTGGCCACATGCCCAGATGTCTTGCCAGTGCACACTGCTCAAATGCTAAAGTTGCTCCCAAACATGCACAATTTCTGCACTTACTCACTGCATAGTGGTAATGAGTCCTTCGTGAACTGGCCCAGGCTGTGGTTGACACGCTGGGCCGCACTGCCTGAGAGTGCCACCTGGCTTGGTGAACATGAAGTGGGTATGTTTTACTGCATAATGTGCATAATTGGTACTGATGACTGAAAGATACGACACCAAAGACACATGAAAATGAAGTCACCTTTCTTTCCCTCCAAAAAACAGGAACTATATTTTGAATTATTTCACCAATGCAGGTATTTAAAAACTTAATTTTCATACTTACAAGCAATAGAACCAGACCTCCAGAGTTTCTGGAAGAACAATCTGCCGTGTATTTCCTTCCCAGGTCATGGTTGTATGGTTGAATGACTATGCAACCTCCACCCTTATAGAGCATAGCATTTCCCTCCCAGTGATTAATCCAATGTTATTAAGACCATCTCCAAAGGCAGCAAATCACCAGAACCAGAAGCTCTGGGAAGTTAGGATGACAGTACTGGAAAATCCTGTGGTTCTGGCTAACGGGGATGATAGAAAAACCACCCTGCAAATCTCTCCACTTGGAAAGCTGACCCGTTCGCCCTGCTGCTTCCTGGTGATGCTGATGGTCTGCTGCACATGTGGGAAGAGGGCGGGTGGTTGGTTTTTTTTTTTTTTTTACCACTAACCTTTCTTTTACTCTCTAATGGTTCTACCCAAACCAGAAAGGGATATACAGGCCGCCTGTCACATAGAAAGGGCCCCATACTGCAGAATGAGAACATGTTCATGGAACAGTGACAGATTTTCAGGTTCCAAAAGAGTATCTCCAGCAGAGATGTCACCAAAAGCAATAAGCAGATAAATACACAGCTGGGTAGCTAGTCCCAGGGCTCCCCATGTTTGCACATGCAGGTGCTGGTCTGTGGGTTGCAGCCAACCCCCCGGGCTGTGGCCTGGGCCTCATTGTTCTGTCCTCTGTTCCTGCTCACGAGTGTCCCAGGGAGCTTCCTCCTCCCCTGCCCTTTTGGCTCAAACATACCGCTTCATGAAAAACAGCAGCAACAGCTAATGAAGCCATTGTTTAAGGAGTTGACTTTGAATCTTGCCAGCAATTTATAATCACCTTTCTGTATTTTGTGTGTTTTCATGTAATAGTTTCTTCCTGCCCTAAGAGTTCTGTATTTGGGTGACCTCAACATTTTGTGACATGTTATGTGAGCAATTATTGGATATATCCTCCTTAGGGCTTAGGAGGAAGCTTCACCTGTGGGAAGATGATGCCCAATTAGCTTCTAGAGAAGAGTTTATTAATATGCTTTCATATCGGGGCATCTTTATGATCCGGAGACATGGACTACTCCCAGCATCTAGAGGTTTTTAGTGGCAGGTTTAATGACACAATCTAATATTCCATAAACTTTCCTTTGCATCCCACCCTTTGATGCCCCATCATTGGGTGAATGCCTACCCTGAATTAACTAAGCATCAGTAGGCTCTTCCTTATAAGGTTGTGATGGACAGAGCCCGGGGAATACAGCAGTCTAGGGAGGTGCAGTGTCCGTATTGTCTCACTGATAACTATTTTGTGCCTTCCCACGTATGTCACAAGAGGTCAGACGAAGAGGGGCATGTCTGCAGTGCTCCTGGCAGTGGGCTTCAGCTTTGGGAAGACGATGGTGCTAAAGGAGAAAGAATGTGGGCCCTCTGGCCTCCGGGAGGGCAGCTCCTTTTCCCTGTTGAGCAAACACCACGACCTTGCGAGTGAAATCGGCTTCATGTTAAGTTCGGTTCACTGATTTCCTAGAAAGATGTGTCTGCATGCAGTTATTTCTTGTGAAGCCCTCCAAAGAGATTTAATTCTTTGGCAGTCATAATTTTGTGTGGTTTCTTTAATTGCTAATTTGTTTAAATGGCTTTTAGCTTTACAGTTTCCCTTTAGGAAATGCTCCTTTCATTGCTAATTGCTAATTGACATGAGTCAGAGAGATTGGAGGTACAGTATAAGGTACTGACTGGGTAGGGAGGCGGGAGGGCGTGGGAGGGCGGCTGTTGCATAGGTTACAGCAAAAACAGCCTGGGATTGCAACCAGGCTGTGGCTGAAGAGGGTGAAATTTCTCGTGTGCAAAGAGATCTGCTTTGGGGTTAGATTTTCTGCAAAGTTGTTTTTGATTGTCTGCTTAAAATTAAAGGCTGAGGGTGGTGATGGAAGGTGATAAGAAAACACACACACAGATCCCAGAGCCAGCCCTACTCAGCATTTACTGAAGACAATATACATGTCCAGTGCAAGTTATCCTGTACCCAGTGACATTCTGAAAGGTCACACGTGGCTGGTGATGAAGTTGCTCAGGGCACTGGCTGACCACTGAGTTCTTTCTCTCCCCATCCCCCATTTTCACAGGTCTAAGGGAAACCACAGGCTCCGAGAGCGACGGGGGTGACTCGAGCAGCACCAAGTCAGAAGGTGCCAATGGCACGGTAGCGACTGCAGCTATCCAGCCCAAGAAAGTTAAAGGAGTGGGCTTTGGAGATATTTTCAAAGACAAGCCAATCAAACTGAGGCCGAGATCAATTGAAGTAGAAAATGACTTTCTGCCAGTGGAAAAGGTAGGTTTGCCTGGTCCTGTTTTATTTTGATACAGCATCGGAGATCTCCAAAGACATGGTTGGTCTCCACGTAGGAAGCTTGCGTGGCCTCTTGGAGGTTTTGGCAGCCTCACGTGCTTGCTGCTGGTCCTCGCCCCTTTTTAGTTTGAGCTCTTCCTGCATGTGGGAGAAGCTTCCCCACAGGGTTCTTGCTCGGCTTAGCTGCGTCCTGTCTTACTGATCTCTCTAGGGACTGTTGCTTCGATGGCTGTTCCAGTGAGTCAGGGCTTCTGTGTCCCCATTCCCTAAGACACGCCCTGCCCGGCCTCATGAGCGTAGCGCCTTCTGATAGCCACCGGTCCGGCTCATGCTCTTCTCCCGGTGCATGTGCCATGTGCTGGGCGCTCAGGTGCATTAACTTTGTCACTGCAGCAAAGCAAGAGGATGGAGTGTTCTTCCTGTGATTTGAGTTGGCTGGAGACAATCGCAGCCTGCAGCTGGAAGTCCTCTGCCTGTGTGACTGATGGAGAGGCCTCTGTTGTGGCTCCCTGGCTGGCTCCCATCAGGAGGCGGCTGTTTTCTTCTGCCTCTGGCTCTGGCTTGGCAAGAGGCAGCCAGCATGTTGCTGCTGAGTATGCCATTGCCCTAGCAACACACCCTGGGCCCTGGTGCCTGTGGCTGCCTGTGACGTCTACTGTGGTACACTTCTAAGCATCACAGCCTTGCTGTGGAGTTGATAAATACTGTGGAAATTTACAAGTTTTAGTAAGTTGCACTCGTACTGTGCTTAAGGGACATTCATTAATTTGATTCACTGGTGCAAGTGTCGCTGGGATATTAGTGCCAGCAGGCTTGGGGGATGGGACAATGGTAACGTCCCTAATGTGGGTTGTTGGTAGCTTCTGAGTGTTTCCATTGTTGGCTGAGATGCAGTTTGGAAGCTTGCATCATCTTCTGCAGCTGTAGCCCTTCACCCCCACCCCAGCCACTGAGCCCAGTGTCATGCTCATTAGAAACAAATTCTGAAAGGGCAGCTTTTTGAGCACTCAGTCCCCATAGAGATGAATAAGGCAGAAAGGGCAGAAAACTAGCAACAAATGCCCGAGTCACTTATACTCTGCTTCTGTTGAAACTTGTGCGGGTCAGCATTGTTCGTTTTAGACATCGATGCAGGTTATCTCTCAGAATGTGAGAGTTAGCTAGTTGGTGCACTGGCTTGCAGACTCGCTTGTGTTTCACGTGGCTGCCTCCAAATTCCTGGCGATATTTACGGAAAAGCCTTGCTCCCCATTTGGGGAAGGAACAGCGGATACGGTTTGGCTTCATTTTATTCAGCTGGTGGAGATAAGCATGACCATTGTCTCAGCATATAATTGATTCCTTTGTATGTTTTATGATTCTTGATCATTTTTCTTTGTGTAGGCAAACCTCCTGTGTGTTCATTTGTCTTAGCTGCCAATGATAATTGAGTTTTTAAAGATGTAGTTAATTAGAGACAGACACTGATCTTCCATTGTTGATTTGCTGCAACAGCCCAGTCTGGGGCAGCTAAAGCCCAGAGACAGAACATGCATGGATGGTAGGGGCCAAGACACCTGGGCCATCCTCCAGTGCCTTCCTACGAGTGTTAGCAGGGTCCTGGATCAGAAATGGAGCAGCTGGGACTGGAACTGATACTCCAGTATGGAATGCTGGTGTTATGGGATGGACACTGGTTCATATCCCGGCTGCTCCATTTCCCATCCAGCTCCCTGCCTGTGGCCTGGGAAAGCAGTAGAGGATGGCCCAAAGCCTTGGGACCCTGCACCCGCGTGGCTCTAACACCTTTGTTAACTTCTGTGGCTGTGTATGTGTTGATCTCTTTCTGAACTCTCCATTCTGATCTTTTTGCCCTTGCACCCAATCTATACTGCCTTTATCTTTATTTAAGTACACTGGAATGAAAGAAATCATAAGAGAGAAAGCTCTGGGAGTTTTTCTTGGGTTTGCATTGACTATGTCGATACCTTTGACTAAATTGATATTTCTCACCTACATGGTATATTCCTCTGCTTCTGTAGTTCTTATTTCCCTTTGTGACATGTCATCAATTGTGCAGCTCTCTGTGCAGTGTTGTTACTGAGGAAGGCATAGTTGGAGGCTGCAGGTTCATGCGGGGGCCAGATGTTTGCACATTGCACACTGATCCCCCAGCATGCCAGAGTCCCCTCTCCCAGCACAGCAGTGCTGGGTTAGCCCAGGCTCCTGTGCCCTGGAAGAACAGCAGAGAAGACAACTTGCACAAGGAGGAAAATGCACTGAAATCCACCAGTCACATAAGATGCTTCCCCAGCCCAGAGAGGGAATAAAGGGACAGAGTATGCACTTAGGTCTGGGTATTGTCCATTTGAACTCCCTTTACAGGGAAGGAAGCATCAGATTGAGGATGTTCTGTCTAATGGGTTGAAGCATCAGAGGGAAACGACTGGCATGGGGAGAAGTTTCGAAGGTAGAATCAAGAAGCCAGGTAATATGTGGAGCAGAAAGAAGTCTTCAAGGTGATGCCTTGGGCCGCTGATTTAAGCAGCTTGGATAATGGCCATTTTAAACCCTGATTAGGAAGCATTGGAGGTGGGGCAGTTCCCCCAGCAGGTGACTGGAGAGGACACCAACTTCTTGGAGTGACATTGATCATATTGTCCAGTCCTATTGCCTGAGGCAGGACCCCCTGCAGTCCTCAGACTTTGAGTCTGGCCGCGAATGATGGTGGGGAACCAGGTACCCACCTAACCCTGTGAAAGAACAGCACATGGCTCCCATCCCACACCTATCATGGTGTGCAGCAAATAATGGAGGAAGCACCATCTTAAGGAGGCAAGTAGAAGCTTCTGTGGCCTGTGCATAGCCTGATGCTTTTCTCTAAAAGAGGAGGTTGTGGTCGCCACTGCGAGTGTGGCTTGGAGGGGCAGCATGGAGCAGGCTGCTCCCTTAGGCTTGGGAAGTACTCCTCCGCTCCCTGTCCCAGGCTCCTGGGTGTGGTTTGCCAAGGCGGAGCACCAACCAGCAGCCTTGGAGAGGAGCTCAGAGCTAGCAGGGCTGGGCCAGACCAGGGTTGGGACCGCATCTTCGCGCAGTCCCCATATCTACCTTCAGACGCTCTAGGCCCCCAGAATGCCGATGGCTTTCTCACTCTGGCTAAGGAGTACTCACCTGCTTGGAGCAGGACACTCGCCCTGGGCAGTTGGTTCACCTTGGCAGAGAAGGATGAGACTGATTGCACCAGCCGACACTGATATACCTGCTTCCCTCCCGAAGAGACAGCTAGCTGTGGCTCTGCTCCCAAGTGCTGGCCAGAGCTCCCTAGCCCCATCTAACACGTGCTTCTGGATCCTGGCCAAAGGATAAAGAAAAGATGTTTAGGATCACTAGCCGTCAGGGAATTGCAAATGAAAACCGTACCCCAGTTTAGAATGGCGAAAGGAAAATCACAAACACTATTCAAGATGTGGGGGGAAGGTGCCCTAATAAACCATTGGCGGGAAAGTAAAGTTGCACAAATATTACGGGAGACAGTAGGGCAATCCCTCCGACAGCCGAAGAGAGACAGGAAAGTAATCATTCCACTCCTGGGAGTTTTCCCAGAGGCAGGGAAAGCCCCACGTGAAAGAGTTTTCTGTTCCCCCATGTTAATTGCAGCTTAACTGATAGTAGCTAAGATAGGGGACCAACTCACATGGCCATTGACTGATGACTAGATAAAGAAATTGTGGGATACCAGTCATTCATGAAAAAGAATGAAATCTTGCCTTTTGCAACAAAATGGATGCAACTGAAGAACATTATATTTATTGACATAAATGTGCTTCAGTGCAAAAAGATAAATATAAGATTTGTGGTAACTAATGTAGTGTAAAAAAGTATTGTGTATGAGAGAAATTTACATTTTGAGCTTTGATTATTGTTTCTATTCCTTGTCTATGTTCTTAACAGTGGGTTTTTCCCACTTACTACTTATAATTTTTTTTAAAAAAAGTTTATTTATTCTTAAAAGAGAGAGGGAAAAGGAGAGACCTTCCATCTTCTGGTTTACTCCCCAAATGGCTGCAATGGCCAGAGTGGGACCAGTCTGAGCCCAGGAGCCAGGAGCCTCCTTGGGATCCCCCACACGGTACAGGGGCCCAAGAGCTTGAACCATCTTCTGCTGCTTTTCCAGGCCATTAGCAGGGAGCTGCATTGGAAGTGGAGCAGCCAGCCCTTGAACCAACTTTCATAGGTGATGTTGTGGCTGCTGGTGGGAAATTTACTTCCTATGCCACCATGCTGGCTCCAACTTCTTAAATTCTTTATTTAGTGGAGGATTAAGGTATAAAGAAAATTTAAATTATGTCACTGTAAAAGTTGAAAGGAGGAAAAAAAACCACCAAAGCAGGAAAGTAGCTAGGAAGGAAGATAATAGGTTAGCTTAGCTGTGTTCAGGATACTTACAGGAATTTAAAGTGGAGGCATCTAGAAGACAGGTGGGTACGTCAGTGTAGCAATGGGGAGAGAATTGGAGCTGGAGTTTTGGGAGGCATTAGTCTAGAGTGTGAGACGGGAGAAGACAAACAAGAAGGCAGCAGACAGGCCCTTATTCTCATGAGTACAGCTGGTATTTGTGGCTCTCACTTGTGGACTCCAGGGGACATTTTCTCAACAGGCCATTTCTCAGTGACTCGAGCCTGGCTCTGTTTTTCTGGCTCTTTCCCTTCTTAGGAGTCACTAGATGGGCACTGTGGAGCAACAAGTTAAGGAAAGGAGTGTTTGTTGTTATATACATAAGGTAGGTAAATTACTTGTACTCTATTCAGTCCCTAAGCCTACAGTCCACAACTTCATGTGGAATAATTCCAACTTTTTAGTGCCAGTTCATCAGTACCCAGGCTCTCCAGCCACCAGCAGTCTTGATCACCTTTGTGGAGAAAAATAGTCTTTTTTCTTCTCACTGGTTAGACAAGGTATCTGAATGCTTTATGGCTTGCCAGTTTTGTGGTTTACTCTACTGA